GAAGACAATTGCCTGAATTCCATATTCTTTAATTTAAAATACATAAGAAACGCATAGTCTGTACAAAAGTTATCACAAACTGTACACTGAAGATTTTTGTAGCGACTGCTGCTGTTAGTGCCAATATATATGAACGCTGGACAAAATACAGAAGCGTAAGTGACAGAAACACTTACACAGGGGAAGAATGATACAGTCATACTGATTCTCTGTTCACGAGCACGTCAAGTTTTGTATACAAATTATCAGAAACACAAGGCAAAATTGCCCGTTGCTACCGAACAACCCCTCAAAAATACAGCATTATTAATACATATTCATAATTCACAATAAACACAATGAAATTTAAATACAGCCTTAAAAATAAACAGTGCATATACAGTATACATACACCTTCTGGTATTTATACGCAAGTTAATGTGACAAAACACATTACGGTATCAGATCCACCCCAAATCAATGATCAGTAACATTTATTCAGGTAACTTTGCTTATTTGACATGCTACATGCTTTTGAAAGCTGGATTGTTCTGGATCAGAGATCTGCATGGAAAAGTGTGAGACCAGAACCCTGTTACTGGTAAAAAATATAAAACATCAATACATCTGGGGCCAATAAAATGCCATACAAATTCACAGAAACCTGCATATCCAAGGTTTTTCGTCTGAGAATTAGAAAAGGGAATTCATACCGCTCAAGATAACCCTGATGTTAATTCATTTTTAAGTGCAATCCAGCAGTCCATCTTCAGATACGTCGGCTACATCATTTGGCTACTGCTCCTTCACCGTACAGAGCCTTTGAAGCCGCAGGCACACACACACACACGCACAGACATACAAGCACACACTGCCCACTAGCTCGAATGAGCTCGTGCCCATGGGTGTGGCAGGTGTTATGTGGCAGTGTAATGCGGACAATCAAAATACACTATTCTGATGATCAGTATAATATTACACAAAAAGATACACACAGCACCAACAACTGTCCTCCCCACAAATTATATCGTAGTCGTTTTCATCATTGGCAATTTTCATTGTATATTAAGTGAATTCAAACATTACAGTAAAGTTGTGGATGGCATTCAAAAAATATACCTTTAATTAAGTAAATAAGAGTTAGCATGCTCACCAGACCTCACCCTTCCTACACAGACACTCGGACCACATGCATAGGAAAGATCCCAGCTTTATGGTTCTGCCTGATAGTGCCAAAGGCTTTTTAAAGAGCCGTCATATTAAATATACTGTTATGCATGAATGAATCCCCTCTCTGATGAAAGTTGAGCATTAAACATCTTAATGAACTGACGGAAAAATGCAACTTTCATGAAGCAATTTTATAGCAAATGCATAAATGCAGCACTTTAAATAAACAAACCAGCTGCCATGGTATTCCTTAGATTTTTCATTGAATATGTTGCTACTAGCGAATGCTTTATGTTGTGCACAGGGTGAATGCTTTCTCCTATAGCCTATGTGATGACGTTACCTGTGTGCAGAACATAGATGTTGGCTCAGTGCAGCTAGCTGCAGTGTATGTCAAATGCTACATCAGTTCTAGTACATACTTATTTCTGAATGTTCACCAGTGTTTAAAACCCATTTTTAAGATTCATACAGCAACTTGAAGGGTTTACTCTGGCCACTGATATGTGTAACACTTTGTGTAGCATGTATGGAAGTTAATATCCATAAACAACTGAGGCACAAAGACCAAATCTCACTTTGATATCAACCACAGGAATTACTGGAATCACTTAAAAACCAACTCAGATTTTTTTTTTTTAATTTCTTTTAAAATTTAAAGATTAATATCTACTATTAACAAGCATAATTTACTTCATAGAAAGATAGTACCAAATTTCACTTTTTTTTTGTAGAGAAAATACTAGCGGTGAACACCTACACTACTTCAAATGCTTCTTTCAGCAAATAAACAATATAAAAAAATCAAACATGGTCTTTGAGAGACTTCTTTTGTCAACATTCCTGGTCTAGCTCTGTTCCCAGAGGCTGAGTGAGGTGTGCCATGGTTAGACAAAGTGGAAATACGAAACATTCAAACAACCATTCTGAAAGTGCAGGACACAGGACAGTCATACTACAAAATAATATCAAGGACTTGAATTTTAATACCTTAAACCAAAAAATAAAATTTGTTGTTAGACATCTTGGGAATCGTGACTGACGTCGCACTGTGGCTGTCCTAAGGGGTCTGAGGGGGCTTGGGTGATGGACAGGAGCCTTGACTGTCAAAGCTGCTGGCCCTTCCTGGCCACTGAAGAGAAAGAACAGATACAGGAACTAGACTGAGCCTTTACTGTAAAGAGGGAACAGGCACAGGAACAAGACAGACTCTACTGTAGAGGGAATAGGCACATGAAAGAAACAGACTACATTGTAAAGAAGGGACAGGTACAGGAATGTGACTGAGATTCCACTGTAAAGAGGTAACAGGCACAGGAACAAGGTTGAGACTCCACTGTAGAGGGAACAGGCACAGGAACGACACAGACTCCACTGTAAAGATGGAACAGGCACAGGAACAAGACTGTGACTCCACTGTAGAGGGAACAGGCACAAGAACAAGACTGAGACTCCACTGTAGAGGGAACAGATACAGGATTGAGACTGAGACTCCACTGTACAGAGGGAATAGGCATAAGAATGAGACCAAGGCTCTACTGTAGAGGGAACAGGCACAGGAACGAGACTGAGACTCCACTGCAAGGAGGGAACGGGCACAGCAATGAGACTCAGACTCCACTGTAAAGAGGAAAGAGACACAGGAACAAACAGACATTTCAGTAGCTAGATATTCAATAATATTTGGCAGATTAGTTAGAGCACCTTGCTCAATAGTACAAACTGTCCTTGGGGGCCAGGTAACTAAAAGGTCTATGTGAATTCTTCTCACTTGTTCCTTGTTCTTGTGTATAATTGGGCTGTGTTCTCCACAGTAGACCTTGAAGCCCACTCTAGTGCCAATGACTGTTGCCTGATAACCATGTTATTATGGTTTTACTTCATCTGATTAATGCCAAAGTAGCTCTTCTAGTCTTTTCTTTTGTCCCCTTTTCTGTCCCATCCTGGGCATCACACCTCTTCCTTTTCCCACCCTAAGTCTACTTTCCTGGTTCTAACACTTCACTACTGGAGGGAGAGAGCTTGTGGGGTTTCCCTTTCATTCACCCTGGTATTTTCTGGTGAACCAAAAAGGCATCTTTTGAAACTTTGCCATCTTGAGGCAGGAGCGTAATATTTAAAGAACATCGATGAAAGGTCATGGGTCAGAATCTCAGGAGCAGGCTTGCTATCGTTCCATTGAGCAAGGCTTGAATAAGACAAAACATCAGAGAGCTTTGGAAAATGTTTTTAACTGCAGTATTCAGTAAAACTGATTTGTACGAAGGCTGATTGATAAGCTTAGTCTCCAGTTGTTTAAAATAAGTTTCTGATAATATAAAATAATATGTGATATCAAAATCTTAAACATCGTAAACTTATTTTTCAACATAGTGCCTATTTACTGCAACGCAGTTTTCCAAACACGCTATCCATTTTTTCATTCCATTCACTAAGAAAGTTTCTGGTTGGTTTCTGATCTGTTTGCGCACAGCAGTTACAACGTAACCATCCGAGGAAAAATGTCTTTTCAGTGTCCTTCAGTTTTGAGAACAACCAGAAGGCGGACAGAGCCAAATCTGGACTGTAAGGGGGGTGTGGAGCAATCGGGAATTTCAGGCTTGACATCATTTCTTTCGTTTGTTCACTGCAATGTGGCCTTGCATTGTTGTGATGCAAAAGAAAAGTTTCTCTTTCAGGTTTGACTCTGTGGATGCATTGCTGGAGTGCCTGTGAGGTTTCGCAATACCTTTCAGAATTTACTGTCGTTCCTTTAGTCAGAAATTCCATGTAAATTACGCCCCTTGCCTAATTGAACTGAAACTAAGCTCGTTTACACTACATAGTATTGGCTACCGAACGCATGAGCAANCCCCCCCACTACCAGAGATGCAGAGATGTGATAGGAGACCTTACTTATGAATCAGCTCCCATGTCATATTCATATCATTTACTCACACAGCTCTGAGAGAAAGCCCAGTAGCATTTGTAATTGTATATACTTAATAAAAGACTAATACCGTACCTCACACAAGGCATGCCAGTGCGTGATTGGCTTGCGAGGGTAGGCCAGCATTTCATTCCAATGGTCTCGCCCCAGGCCCTCTGCGTCTGGTCCAGCCCGACACACCCCAATCACCTCATTGTGCCCGACTCTGCGACACAGGAAAAACATTTCACTGGCTGTATTAAAAGAGACCTAGAAGAGACCTTGATTCCTGTAATTTATATGGGTCTCTGTGGGATTGTTGAACATTAAAAATAGTGCTAGAAAGAAATGCTTTGAACAGAATACCAGAATTCTTTCAGTAGATTACAATATATATATCAGAACAAGTTTTTAGCCTGTGGTTTATTATAAGCTGTGATTTGATAAGTTTACTAATGGATGTACAGGTCTCTACGGGCAGAAGCCACCTGATGGTGTACTTAATGGTTTTGTGTGATGCTAATCAAACGGAAGACAGCCCTAAACCTAAGGACTGGACTGAAGCAGATCACTAGGGTGTGGTTCCCTTGCATGTGGCTATTGCCGGAAACGCTGGATGGGGTTGGACACTGAGACTTACCGGTCGTAGTCCATCACCATGATGGACAGGCTGACCTGCTCCACGTTCTCTGGCGGGATGTCGAAGACGATGGCCTCGTTGTAGGTCGGGTTGAGCGTACCCTTCTTCGTTGTCGTCTTGCGCTTCTTCAACCTCCGGCCGTCGCAGAGCAGCGACACTTTGACATAAGGGTCTGGGGAGAAGTTCAAGGACATCAGTACCCTTCACGTAGCTGCACTGGCTTTCAGCCGAACTTTAAACATAATAACATAATCACAAGTACTGTAAATTCCATTCTGAGTATTGTCTGGTTGGTCTTTGCAGGTCAGGTGTAGAAGAGGATGTACCGGAGGACCCCATGATGTCCATGGCTTTGAGGTTTCGGCACTTAATGACGGTCAGAGTCATTCTTCCAGCCGTGGGCAGGTAGCAGAGTGAGTACATGATCTCTCCCAAGTCCACGCTCTCCTGCAAGACACATCGCCATTACTCCAAACATGAGCCCATCAAGAGGCAGCTCAAGTACCCTTTGTATGGTTAGGAGATACAAGGAGAGCAAATACAAAACAGGGTCTGTCTTTGGTGGCTATAGAGTCCTGGTCAGATGCTTGGAAAAAGTGAAGTTTGATTACTTGATGAATAATCTTCAGTCACTAAAATACACAACAGTCCTGTAATAAAAATAAACCACAAAATACTGATAGAAAACCACATGTTTACCACAATTACATAACGAAACAACTTTGAAGGTTTTTAATTGATATTCACTGAATGAAGTGTTTCTGTATCATGAAAGGTTTCGTTTTAATTACATCTATAGCTGGGGCTCCTACCCAGGTGCAATTAATGCATTAATTAATCAAATTCCCAGTGTGTTTGGGGTCATGAATTAAATGGGTAGACATGGTTGTTCTGTAATTATGGGAAGCATGACTGCAAGGGAATAAAGTGATTTTAACACATTGGCTGCTGTGATAAAAAAAAAAACCATCCAATCATGAAAGGATATCACCACTGTTATTTGTAATAAATCTTTTGATTGGCTGACAATGTCTACAATAAAAGCAGTAAATACTGTCCTTGACCTTATCAAAATAGAGCTAACTTCCAGATGTAGTACAGATACATTAGGATACCAGCATAGAGCTAGCCTTGCCATGTAACTTCCACAGAGCTATAACCTCTCCTTCAGATGACCTTGCTTTTGGCAGACATCACATTTTCCTGGTCATTGTCTTGATGGCGTTGTCAGGAATGAGCTGTGGAAAGTGTCCACAGAGCTGGGCTGTGTCACACATGACCAAGTTAATGTCAACGATTCGGAGACTGAAGCAGATGTGTCTGGTAATATAGGGTTAATAGTGTCGTAAAGAGACGGATAAAGGTTAACCTCGGCACCTGCGTAATCATTCCGATATCTGAGCCGTCGCCCTCGACGCCAGGCATAATCAAACGAGTGTATGAACTCTCATCCCTAGTGGGCCATACTTCACCAGAGCTTCTGTGAAAACAAACGGTTCAGTTGAGGATTTTCATGAGTGGTAACACTTGTGGTGCTGTTGTCATGGAGCACTAAGGGAAATGGCATCATCAGAAAGAGCAACATTGTGCAAAAGTCCATCCTTAATGAGGGTGACCAGCCAGAAAGGACCTTAGCTGCACAACCAATTTCATAAAAAGCGGTCTGTTAAAAACTAAACCACGATAACATCAGGCTTGTCAGCTTTGCTGTCAAATTGCAATGAATAAGGGGTTTTCATCTTCCCAAAGTGCTGATTTTCCCTTCTTTTTCTTTTTTTTTTGAGGTGGGGGGTGCTTTTCAGAATGACAATGCCCCCGTCCACTGAGTGCATGAAGTCAGCCAGTGGTTTGACAAGCATGACACTTATGATATTCATGTGCCATAGCCCTTACAGTCTCCAGATCTGCAATCAATAGAGAATTTATAAGGCGCTGATGCCTAAAATGATGACCGAGACATGATCCATCAACCAGTGTTGACCTGAGTTCCTTCTGAAAGAATGGCACTGCATTATTCAGTACCCTTATAGACTCCATGCCCCACTGTATGCAGCCTAAACCAGTTAAATATGACTGTTATACTTCAAACATCAAGTTAAATATCCAGCAGTTCCAGATACAGCTTATCAAAATCTACAGTTTTTTCAGGTATTTCATCTTCGGTCAAATCCATTTCCACAGTCCTTCCGCATGAACTTTGTTGGCTGTTCCAGCTAACAAATTGTGTGGGTTTGTTTACTTCAGCTTCTGTTAGCTCATCAATGTTTCACGCTCGTTAAGCCACGTGTGACAGCTGGCAAATGTGAATGGAAAGGAAAGTGAATAGCAACACCTCAAAGCTGCATGGTAGCCCACACATGTTCCCAAACAGACTTTCAGATATGTATTTTGCTTTTGACATGCATCATACTTTCCGCCTGTTCCTGCCTGCATGGGCTGCAGAGCCTGTGTCTGACATACACTATGTAATTTTTCATCTGGCCTCTTCTGCAGTTGCTCTCCTAACATGAGTTGTTGTGTAAGACACCCCACGTGCCTCATCCTGTCTTTTATCCGACTGTGGAAGTGTCCGTGCAATTTGGTTGAATTCAGGCTGAATTAAGCTCCGTGAACATTAAAAACTTGCCGCTGTATCAAGCTTGGCTATAATGCAATGAACTGCTCTAGGCAAACAGATTAAAGCATTTTTGAGAAAGATTTTCGTACTGCAATAATCAGCATCGGCCCACTGAGGATGAAAACAATTTCCTGCCTTGGCCAAACAACTGAGCGACCAGCATTTGCTGCTACACTTGCAGTCCATTCTTAAATACATCCATCGCTTCTATGTATAGCTTCTGGGGAATATCAGCATCAAAAAATCTCCCAGCATTCACAAGACGGTGATGACCAATGCAACTGGCTGTTATAGTCACGATAAATGATAGATGTATATGACCTACCATTCTGTGGAATGTTGGATGGCACCCCTGCCCTCATACACACTCTCCTGTGGATACCAATATAACAGTATGGGCATTTTCTCAGCTTCTAATGCTAGTGCTAATGCTAACAAAGGCAGGTTCGTATTGTTTGCACCTGAATGCCGCTTTATCCGTTCAAGTTGAACGTTCTGCTCTGCTGGGTGAAAAAATAGCACCTGACAAACCCACTGGTACCAAATACATTAGCCAGGCCTGATGCCCTGAGTGACCAGTCGCAGCCAGAAGTTTCCAGAGCCTGTAGACGCCCAGTCATCCACCTGCATACAGTATTTCATTTAAAAGTTACAGTAACTAGAACAGCTGCTTGCAAGACTCTCCTTGGGGCCCCCAGCCATTGTAGCATCACCTGACTGAAGTAATTAATTACTCAATAAGTCCTTAATTAGTGGAGTGCAAATATTTGCAGAATAAGCAAAGACCTGGGTACCACTGAATTGGAATATCTTCACATAACAAAAACCTACATCTCACCAAACTTAAGTATGAGACCAAAGGCAGCAAAGTTTTGTTTCTTTTTAAACTTTTATTTAATCTTTTTGGGCCACTGCATCCTAATTACTTCCACACTCTCATCTGAGGTGCTTCAAATGCTAATGCTAATATTTTCACATACGTGTCTGAGGTTCTGTGATTGATAACATTAGTATTACCATGCTGTCATCTGAAATGTTGTGAATAATAATGCCAATGTCCTCACCTGTGTATCCAAAATGCTAACACTCAATGATTTTATCCAAAAAGGTTAATACTCCTTAAATAGCCTCATCTATTGTTTCCAGCCACCCTGGATTGCATAGGATACTTCTAGAATTTGATCCTTTGTGTGACAGATAATGAATTCCATTTTGGGCCACAATGCTTTCTGACACAGGTCAGTATTTGTGTATCACTGATAGACTTGATAGATGGCTGTTATAGTCACGATAAATGGTAGATGTATATGACCTAGATAGATTAGACTTTCGCAGCTTGTGCCAAGCTGTGTGCAAAGCATACGTTGTTTCACTGATGATGGATGACATGTTCTGCTGGTCAGCCACAGGCGAGTGTGAAGCTGCACTGAGCATGTAAGATCTTTGGTGTAGACAACAGCTACTCAGTCGTTCTCCTCAGAAAGATCAGGCAAGCATATAAATGAACCTTTCATGATATGGACGGTGAAACTAACAAAGTGGAAAACGGCATGAAGTAATGTGAGCTACTTTCAAAGAGAGCACTATACGTTTCTCGTATTATAGCAAAGAATGAATCTCTCGTTCTGGATCTTAATTATGCGATATTCTGTTACGTGGAGTGCTATTAGCTATTAGCAATATTACTAATTGTCCCATGCCTTCATCTCTGAGTTTGAAAAGTAGCAAAAAGCCAGTGCTAATTCCACCTTAATCCTTTCTAATGTGCTTTGATGCTCATGCTCATACCCGCATGCCTTTATCAGTGAATGCTAATGTTTTATGTGAGGTGCTTCACGTGTCCTAGCAATTAGACTCTCTGTTTACAGTCAGCAGCTGCTGTTTTTCGCTGGGTGAAAATGTGGATGAGCAAGCTCATTTGCTGATGGGGAAAACTGTAAGTTCAGTCAATCGAGGCAGTAGTGGCCTAGTGGTTAGGGAGGCGCACTTGTAAATGAATGGTTCGAATCCTTGACGAGCAAGATACTACTGAGGTACCCTGAGTACAGCACCACCCCCACATACTGCTCTCTAGACACTAAATGATGGCTGCCAACTGCTATGTCACACATAGGGTACATGCAGAGGACACATTTTGCTGTTGTGTGGTGTGTCAACAATGACAATTGATCACCTTCACTTTTCATAAATCCAAACAGGAGAAATATTCAGGTCCAGAAAGAACAAATCCAGACCAAGGTTTTGTTTCAACCAACCACCTGAGTACTCTATGACTATGACTCTTTATACTCAACTGGTTGGTTGAAACAAAACCTTGGTCTGGATTTGTACTTTCTGGACCTGAATTTTCCACCTCTGAATCCAAACATGCCAGGTCTGCAGTCCAGTCACACAAACAAGTCCTGCCTGCGCTTAAATGCAGCCCTACTCACCGTTGTCGCGCAGTGGATGTCCTTCCACACAACTGCTTCCCTGGAGAGGTCCGATAGTTCAAAGAGGTTGTCCACCAGCACCTCCCCTATCATGTCATGACTGGTGAAGCGGTCGAAATCATACACGCTGAAGTGCAGCTTGCGGTTGCACAGTTGGTCATACTCCACCGGAAACTGGAAGGTCTCATCGAACACGGGGTTGAGCGTTTTCCTGTGCACGCGCGTCTGAAACTTCTTCTTCCTCTCTGGTAGCAGGTATATCTTGACGTAGGGGTCCGAGGTGCCCGTGAAGTCTTTGGCCGGCAGTTCCAGGGCCTTCAGGATTTTCACCACCAGGCTCTGGTTCTCGTAGTCGTACTGCAAC